ACACACACACACACACACACACACACACACACACACACACACACACACACACACACACACACACACACACACACACACACACACACACACACACACACACACACACACACACACACACACACACACACACACACACACACACACACACAGACAGACAGACAGACACATACACACACACACACACACACACACACACACACACACACACACACACACACACACACACACACACACACACACACACACACACAGACAGACAGACAGACAGACAGACAGACACATACACACACACACACACACACACACACACACACATACACGTTTTTGTTACCTGGTGGGTCCCTTTGACAGGGCCGTTCAGAATGGGACCCATAGACATAATCTTTTTTTACCAAGACTTTAAGTAATACAAAACAGTCAATAGAAACCAAACAACTATTTTAAAGGAATTTTATTTTAGATTTTGTTTTCGAATTGCAGTGATTCTATTTTTGACATAGAATTTAATGCCACTCCATGTCCGATGTCTAAGGTCATCTGGTGAGGCATTAATGCAGGCCAGGCAGTGAGACTTCCCAGGGACCTTTCCAGTCTGTATGAAAGGTGTCATGGTCTTCTCCACAGCCTTCACCTCAGATGCAGACCATGGCTTTCTTACACGTTCTAGGGAGAGAAATAAAAATATATTAGCAATATACACTCCCAGGGTGAGGACCAAGCAGCCTGGCTGTAATCCCCCACCTGGTACACTTACCAGAAGGGGCACTGCCACTACCATGGGGTGCATCTGGATGAATGGTTGAAGGTTCTCCGCTTGAAGTTTCTTTTAGCCCGTCCGTTTGTGAGAGGATCTCTACTGCTCTCCCTGTCGCACAGAAAATAAAAATACAAGTGGCCTTTAGGGGAAAAAAATCATACATATTTTAATAATATCAAGAATTACCTTCAGGCTCAATTTGTATCTGGTCGAGGCTCTTTCCTTCGAATTCCGTCACTCTTCCCTGCTCCATGGCCATCAACACTTTGCTGATTTTGGCCAGCTCCAGTGTCCCCTCTGGTAGTCTGTAATATTGCCTGTGGATGCGAATGTCATGGCCGAGGAAGTTGGCAAGTATGTCCATCTCATTCTCTTTCATATTGAGAACTGTAGACATAGTAGCTATGTGCTTTCTAAGTTTGGTTGAGGATAGCATCTCTGGATGCACCGCACCACATTCTTTGGCTACCTGGCGTAGGGAGTCTGATCCCCTGATGTGGGTGTCTGCGCCCGGGCGGGAAAAGAAGTATGGGTTATGGTCAGAGATGGAACAGGCCCTTCTGTTCTCCACCAGCACCTCCATCGAAGCAATCATTTCAGGAGTCAAAAGAACCGGCACTTTCCGACTTCTTTTCCCTTTAATTTCAATGCGTTGAAAATGCTGACACAGCTTTTTCTCAAGTTGGGACAGTCCCAGAGCAATGTCAGAATGGATCCCAGTCTTACTTCTTAAGGTAAAGGCTGTCAGTGGCATCTTTGAAACCTCACCTTCCCTTCTTCGATTGAAAATGATGACCTCACAAAGAGTCAAAACTGCCAGTTTAGACCAATGCTTAGACGTTGGCTCACTTATTAGGGTTTGCACATATTCAGGTCGACATACCTCAATATGTGCATGCATGGCTCTAACGTCCTCAGTCAGAGGGAGCAGGTCCGGAGTGTTCCACTTGGCTTGCCGGAGGGTCTGTAGGGCAGCAGAAGAAACACAGACGTCCCACCTCTTCTCAAAAAGCAGCCGGCTTCGTTGGAGGTTTTTAATAAATAGTTCATCAACACAATGCTCCATTTTTGAGTCACATTCAAGAATATCTGCTAGCTTTCTGAGGCTATGGCCGAGTTTGAGGGCCAAGGATGGAGTCTTGTATTGATTTGTTTCCTCATCATATCCAGCCACAGACCTGACTGCATCAATCACATGGTTAAAGTTGGAAGGAATAAAGAAATCCTTAATTGTTTTCAGTTTCCCTGCGGTTTTTGCTTCGTTAATTAACCTACCGACTTCTCTCATTTTCTGCCTAATGTAATCATGCTTTGTCTTATCATGCCCGTGTTTTAAGTACAGGTGCTCTCCGAGTCTCAGAATCCCCTTTTCTGCTTTGACAACACCCGTGACCTCATCCTGATGCATTGCCGAAATTAAAGACCACAGCTTTTTGCTGATGCCCTCCGGTACAGGCTGGGCTAGGGAGCAGAGGGACTGGACCCTACTTCTACCTGGTTTAGCCTGGGCATCTTTCTGTGAAAGCCGGCACCTGGCCACATGCCTCCACAGCGACTTTCGCTTAAGCAATGCCCCACAGTCTATACAGTGCAAAAACTCACTGGATTTAACTGGGGAATTTGGCTGTTTAGCTGGGACTAAAGTTCCAATGCCGGCCTTTAAAACCTCAAAATTGTGCTCACGGTTTCCACTATTCCTGATCAAATCAAACTGAAGTTTACGTGCTTTAGATTTCACAGGTA